CCGTCCCCGACTGTTTGGGGTCCTTCCCCTTCGCCCCAGGACCCCCGTTCTTTCGGCCGGCGCCCGGGCGGCGACCCCTGTAACAGACACCCCCCCCCCCCCAAAAAAAGTTTGTCAAGGACACAGGGGACCCCCCCACTACCCCAGAGCCCCCCCCGCACCACTCCATTCCCAGGGGACCCAGGCAGCTGGTGCCCGTCCCCCTACCCTGCATCAGGACCCTACGTGTTGGGGGGGACGACCCAGGTGTTTGAGGAGGGGACCCAGGTGTTTGGGGGACCCCCCCCGAACCCAGAGCCCCCCCCACCTCATTCCCCAAGGACCCAGATATCCGGGGGACCCCCCCAACGTGGAGCCCCCCCCCCACCTCATTCCCCAAGGACCCCAACATCCAGGGAATCATCCCCTGCCTTATCGCTGTGGCACCCACATCGGGACCCCAAGGTGTCGGGGGGGACCCCAAAATTTGGGGGGGGACCCCAGCTGTCTGGGGGGATGTGGGGGGGGGACACCCAGGCATCCGGCCCACCTTCGGGGTCCCCGCTCGCCCTCGCCGTGGGGCTCCTCGCCCTCCCCCTGCATATCGGGGACGGCTGCCACCAAATCCTTCAGGAAATCGAATTGTTGTTCCAGCTCGATGCATTGCTTCCTGAAAGAGAGGGTGGGTGGGGCTCGGCAGGCCCCACCCACATGCCACACCCATCCACAAACCCCACCCCTCACTCCTAAGCCCCACCCTTAACACCAATTTCTTCCTTAAGTTTCTTTTTGGGGAGGGAGTGGGGAAACTGAGGCAGAGAGTGCAAAGCAGAGCCAGGCGTTCAAAGGACCCTTCCGCCCCCCCCCAGAGGGGACCCAGGGGTCCAGGGGACCCCTCCCCACCCCCAAAAAGGGGACCCAGGGGTGCGGGGATGGGGTGGGTTACTCACAGGTGGGAGGTGGTCATGGTTTTGGCGTTACGGGACTGGGTGACGTGACACGCTTTCCGTAACAGCGACTCCAAGAAAAGCTCCAACGCCCGGGCTACACTGCTAAGGACACCCACGGACCCAAGTGTCCCAGCCCCGCCCCTGCCCCGCCCT